TTCTATGCTAAATTTTACATATTCACTGTGTTTTAATTTAGCGCATTTTTCCAGTCAGCGAAATAAGCTAAATTAAAACACAGTGAATAATTACCCCCTTTACAGTATTTGTTAATGACTGGTGTTTCATAGCAATCCTTGAAGTTGGGTTTAGCACTTTCAGGCAGACTAAGGATGTCCCGCCAAACAGAGTCAAGTTTTTGTAAGTGTTGTGTTATTGACACCCGATTGTATTATATTACATTATATTATATGCACTACAACTGAAGATGTAGCATTGCCAATATTACTATATTCTGGTGAATTGCAAATAGTAGTCCCGACTGAGCATGCGCAATCATGTAATGAATAGCTCATTTAAACTAGCGTATTTAATTTATAACAGCACACGTTTCAAAATGTTCATTCTTTGCAAATGAAACATAACAAACTAAAGTATCCCAAGTGTTTTCGTCATAGGAAATAGAATTAGTTTATGTATTGCAGTATCGTACTGAATAACAGGCTCATTATTTTCACTACATGTTGTAGAGCTTGCCAGAATAACAAAACATTGAATCAAATTTAGATATTGCCGTGAGTAGTCCCTCGTCCATTAGTTGATGTGACTACCTGCGTCATACGCTGCTATTACCGACGCATATTTGAGTGATTACTAGGTATATGTGTACTGACGCGTGTAACCAGTGGATGTTTCAATGAAAAGAAATTATGCGCAAAGTACCCTATATTAAATATGACTTTATGTGGGCCATACAAATCGACAATTAAATCACCATTTTTCTATTAAAGGAATAAATAGGTTCATGCTGTTGAGATACAGAAGATAAGAAGAAGGCGCAAATTGGGGGTAACCGGGTAATATTTTGAAGAAAAAAAAAATCAATTCCCAAAGTTTGATGTATCCATGTATATTGTTTTAGTATTAATGTTTCATAACTAATATTTTTTCCGGAGAAATAAGCTGTAATAAGCTATTGTTATCAATATGAACCCTAAGAAAACTTTTTTTTTTTAATTTTGTGAATTTGTAGCGAGATGGTTCCATAGTTTTTAAAGGGAATTGTTCCTTATAATGCATTATAGCATGTTCAGTAGATGCACATAACATGATTTTGATCGTAACTCTCTTAAACCAGTCTCCCAATTTAAAGACAAATCAAATGGTAAAGTTTTTTATAGTGGGCGCCGAAATAAACTGGTCGCAAAAAAAAAAAACGCTGTCTCCCTGTAAATTTCCTTTGGAAGACTGCAATATCCATTAGCGGCGTTTTTTTCACTTCGGCACTTTCAATCCCAAACAAACCGACGCTTTAAGGTACACCCATTGCTTGATGGTTAAAACGACAATAAGGCAATCACATACGACATACAATTTGTTTTATTAATTTCTCATGTTACCTACGTAACTCACACGTTAAGTTAAGAATGCCAATTCAATTATGGCAGTAGATATGGCTGAATATAAGGAAACCTTATTCGAACGGTATCGTTCAGATGAAAACGTGACGAGTACACGAATCATTTTCCAATGCTATATGGATTTAGAGTTTAGATTCAAAATCAGAATTCGAACAAGGAAATTGCGTGAAATATTAAACTGGCAAATGTTTTAATCATAGGAGTGTTCTACACAGAGATTTTCTATTTGATCGCAAGCGCACAATTTCATTTCAAATTCGAACACTTAATATTCGATATGTAAATTTCCAACGAGTGAAAGCAAAGTAAATGTTCCAATGTATTTTGCAATATGCCAGTGGGAATTGATAGTGGGGTAGAAGATTTTATGATCGGTTAATTCCTGGGCATGCTGTAAATTAAAATGTCAGTCACGTCCATGTGAACACTTGCGGCGCCACCCATACTCAAACTAGAATTCCCGTATTAGTATTTCATCTACTATACATTTTACTAAATCATAACATTCAAGAAACTGGCAACCATGGCATCAGAACATTCTGTTAAAAATTTGTGAAGAAAATATCATCTTAACCATGGCCTACGTCAAGAATATATGCTAGCTGTACCACAATATTTCCTTGTGTCGACGTTGGGTATATTGAAATATTATTACGTCATATTTACAGGCTTACTTACCTATGTATGCGGGATCGTCTGGTAAAGACACGCCGGTACAGATGTACATATCATCCTATAATAAACAAGGATAATATAACATAATTCACAAAAATACGTCGTCAACTGATGAAAACTAAAACAAACTCATTTCCCGTCAGTTTTTATTGGACGTTTGGTTTGGTTTGTTTTTGAGCATCGACGTCATCGTCATCGACGTTTTTTATTTGAAACAGATACGTGAGGTGTTCAAGTGATAAGCATAAATAGATTCTATTCTGTCATTTATTTCAGGAATTTAAGACAGTTAGCACCGTTTTTTTTTGGGGGGGGGTGAGGACTAACTTTCCCTTAAAAGAGATACTACATCGCATCAACTCTAGACGAAGACGCAAGTGTGCTATCAACGCCCGGACAGTGACGAATTGCTGCAAATTCGCGCATTAATTTCTGAAGTGTGTACGATAACCCTTTGATCACCTTGCCACGTTTGAGATCTTTTCACCACCTGGGTCAACTTTTGTCACCTAATTATAGACGTTTTTCTTGTTCTCACCAAATCTTTCAACCACATAGACAATGTCAAATTGCATTGTCTTACACTAAGTGGCGTGTGTAGTTTTCGTAATTACTTGCCCTAAAAATCACATTTGATTTCAAGAAAATTTGAAAAGAGCGCGGCAATTCAGGCGGAAAGAAACATAGCGATGAACGTGCACAGAGTGACTGGCTCGGGATTTAGATGGAGATTACGACAAGGTATGAGGCAAATTCAAATTAGTGGATACGACGACGAGTTGTAAAATAATCATGGCGTCTTTTCGCATTACTTGTATTAAATTCAGTTGCTTAAAGGGTGTCGGTGTACGTGATCATCGATCCTAATAGCTTTCTCCGTATAGTACGATAGCTAATACACAGGATTGCGTTTAAGGATTATTTGTGTATCGTTCAGTGGGTTATAAAATGTTATCGGCGCGACATTTCCCGCCTTTTTTATTTATAATACAATGATATTTATCGCGTAACTACTTATATATCGCTGTCATATACGATGTTTGAATCATTTCGATCATTATAAATTTTTTTTTAATATATGTATATATATGTATATTTAGGTTTAGGCCTTTCTGGCATAAAGATATGTACGCACGCAGACATGGAGAACAGTCTATAATACCTCGTTTTCAAATTTTGCCCGAAAAGTGCTAACAGCCTGGTCAGTTACTGGTTTACTTGATTCGTTTTTTTTTTTGTGTGTGTGAGTTTCATTGTAGATTGTATATTTTTTAGTGGGAATTGGGATATTTGGAATAATAGATTTTGAGTTTATTTTTCTATTTACTGACATTGTATTTCTTTGACGAAATAATATCGTTCGGGTTGTTGCAAATTCTGACGTTGATTGCAAAATAAAAGACGTTGGTCTAAAATAACATAGTTAAAGCGCGGTGGTCGTCGCGCAGCGCGTGTTCGAATTTCATGTAAATAAACAATGTATTTTACACGCGTTGTATACGTCGCTATGAGTCCCATATCGAACAGAACGCGGCACGACGACTGCCGCGCTTTAAGTGAATATGTTTTTACATTACTCTTCGTATATTTTCTTTGTAGTTTGTGATTTCACTAGAGCTGTACTTGCATTATTTGTCACTGTTCTAACCTTCCGATGAATTACTGACGCTTTGCAAACAAGTTAACGACCACAGCTACATTTGAATAACAATGTCCTCCATGGTTGCCGTAATACAACATACATCTAACTAATGCATTCCACATTTTATTTCATTACTTTCTTGAAAACACTTGATTAGCGGGATATGGCACACACCAAGCCACACGCCATCGAGATTTACCACAGAACAGAGACAGACTACGTGCTATTTGGGATATCTATGAATAATAAATTAATTCGGTGATAATATTTAGTTTATGTATGTTAAGCGTTAGCCAATCTTTCAAATTAAAAACGGTTATAATGGTTATAAAAACCGAATGAATGAATGAATGACATTTATTCCACACACAAAAAAGATAAAAATAAACTTTGGAATGAATACGGTTAAATAATAGAAAATAAATGTAAATATATAATTATCATCACAGGTATATCTAAAGTGGAGACCTCTTCATGACGCGTCGTGTTTAGTGAGTGGATTGTATTGACATACTCACAACGTCTGAACTCACGCATCTTACTTGTAATCAATACGTACATAATTCATCATATGGAATATAGCCTATAGCATTAACTATACATTTTAATGACATTGACCTTGCTAGATAAACTGAACTACGTGGCAATATATGGCTGATTTATTTCTCATTTGATTATTTTTATTTTATTTATTTTTTCGTTATGTTTTGTGTTGTTTTAATGGAAAGACGGATGCCATATGTGAAGTCGGCTTTTGGGAATCCATCACATCGTTTAATATTTATATTTTGATACTCCCGTACGTCGATAAAATAAATAATGTACGCTTGAATATAAACATATTCCCTCGTATCTCAAGCAGTATCACGTAAATTAGTCACGTGTGATGCCCTACATTACGTCAAATATGATTACTTCCTCGTGTAAAATCAACTTACACATCACAACCCAGATGCTATGCTGCCAAGCAACAAGACACTATTATATTTGCAGTCATCTGAACACGTTGCCATTGTTACTTCACTCGTGGTGTATCCTTGAGATGTGCCGTGTCGTCTGAAACCCACGCAGACGTGATCAGTCGTCGTGCCCATTTCAGGCAGAGTAACCATAACAATAGCGTTGTTAAGATGCGGGTTTCTATGAAATATACATGTCTAATGCTTCGAACAATTTAATTTATTTTGTGGTCGTTTTCATAATATAGAATGGGAATAAAAGAAAATGGCCGCCGAGATCTCACTCTTCCCCGGGGCGTGGTGTATGTAACCATGGTATTGAGAACAATAGACTCGATGGCGGGGAAGATTGATACATTATTTGAGGGGCAAAAGCAATATCGCTTTCAACGAGATCACTTCGACCATTCGTAAATGTCACTCAAAGACTATATATAGCACAGACGTAAACATTATGCAAATTAACTTGCGTACAAATATCAACTGTCATAAGCGGTAGGTTATCCGAAACATAGAAGGTCTGCACAAAAAACAAACTACAATGAGAGGCAGCGTTTATAAAAAAACATACACATCGGACGTTTACTGTAGAAGAACACAAAATCTAACTCAAAATAAATAATTTGCACAGATTTTGTCTACCAGAATATCAAAATATTCTGTCCCTCTTCAGGCTGACCATGATGAACAATTACGTATTTTTCAAATTAATTGTTCTCCTGTAGGAAGTGTTATACAAAATATACTTATTGGACAAACGGTTAATGATCTGATTTAATTTTAAATAAGTGCTTCGTTTACTGTAAAACACGTTGGAACAGCTACATGTCATTTTTAGCGAATTTGACTCAATGCTGAAGTGGCAACATTCTCATTGTGGGAATACACTTTATTTTAAATATCTTGAATTTGCGACATTATTACTTAGCTAAATTACCTAAAATAACACGCTGGCTAAAAATACATGTTTAAGAGAATTTCTCCCCACGTTGTAAAATATGTATATGTGTAATATAATATCCAGACGTTATACAGTCCATTTCTGACGCAGATGATGGATGTAAGTGACAATAGTTTCACTGTTGATATGTATTCAGTACGCAAGAAAATGCATTATAATGTCTTTGTCGGTTATTTAAAAAATTAACGGCAGTGTGGAGGAGCAGTAAAATAATTGATTAAATTCACAAAAACTTGAATATTATTGTAGTGCGTCACATTCCAACGTTGTAGAGATAGAAACCGAAATCGATTTATTTCAAATATTTTTAATTTGCAAGACTTTTTATTTAATAACAACTTACCTGATGACAATGTGTATGATATGTGTATAGGTGATCGAAGCAACATAAAGCAATACAATTTTGACATTATTATTGACAGTTGATGAAAATATCTAATTTTCTGAATAACATGACATGCGTATTATTCGCCGAGTAATTATAATTACGTCAATCAATAAGCTCATACCTTAATCTCTCGTGCGTTTAATCCACTTGGTTCACGTGATTGAATTATAGCTAATTATAAATTAGTTTGACTTTTTAATTCGTTTGTTCAGTTTCAGCTCTCTATGATTTTATGAATTATTTTTGAAAGATTATTTGAGATTACTATTTGAGAGATCATTTGAGTGTCGCTGACAGCCGTGTATGATTCACTAGTTTCAGTGTGGGTGGTCGAATTCAGGAACTTCCGATTCAGTTTGTTTCGTACATAATGCGTTTAAGAATTGTTGATTCTAAAAATAGACCATATCGATGTTTCAAACGAAGAGATGTTTATTAACCAGGAAATGACATTTAAATAATGTAAACAGCATAATTTATCAGGAATACCGAAATACATGATGCGACGTAGACGTGGTATTTGCAATGGTGCTAATAAATTGTGTGTTGTTTAAGGGAAGGGAAGAGAGCAGAGTAATATTCAATATTTGCTGAAAACAAAGTGTTCAGTACAATGCTCAGTACAATATTTCGGGTGCAACCTCACTCTCACTAAATTCAGCCTCTTCCAGGGACCACAAAAAACTATCCCTTGAAATGAGTGCCGCCGGATAATCAAGACCCCTTGAAGATTTCAAAATACCTCCTTGGGCGTCAGGCTTTCAAATAAATCTTACAAGTGTCACCCCCACCATTCAAGAATTATCGAAGGGTAGTATCGTCTCAGTATGATCTCACCCTACGATGATTATTGATGAGTCGGCTTTTACTCATTCTCACATATCCGATGGTATACCCTTTAACCAGAATATTGAAAACTGCATTTTCTAAATTTGATGCAATAACTGGATATATACCCTACAATGTTGATATTATGATACTTTTCCACTCGCAACGAATGTAAATTATAGAATGGCAACCGCTTTGTTCACGCTTTATTCAGAATCGTAGATTTCATTTTACGAAGACTTGTTCGCGGACTAAAGCGTGCGGAAATCGAATTATAACAAACACATTTAAAACTCTATCAGCACCTTGCTCCTTGTCAACATTTACGGAAATCCAATCGCAGAAGCATTTTATATAGTGTTTGAATTGATATACTAGGTAATAGACATGTACATGGACGGAAAATAGGATATTATAATTTACTACGGCAGCATCATCTAATACAGCGTTGGAAATCAAGACTTTCAGCCATTTTCCATTCACACGATACAGAGCCGCAATACACGAAAATCACGTCTCGCGTGGGAAGTTAGCGTTTCTCGTTACGAATTTTAAGATTATTTTGAACAACTGTTGGTTATAACACAACCACAATAATTTTTACACAACTAATGAATATTAATATTAATATTTTTACAATGATTTGGAGTGAGAATATGACCACTGTTCGGTTACAATAATGACGTCATTGCCATGGTTACTGAACGATCTTGAAAGAATGAGGATTGCCGATGAATAAATGAAATCAATGTTGTGCATGGTGGGATGAGAGTAGCAAATCGACGTTGTCAGAGACTTGTCTTGAACGAATCATTTCTGATGCAAACAATAACACGTACTGTTACATTAAGAAATCGTTCTCACTACCTACTATGTATTTCTCGTTTTAGGTAAGGATATATATAACGAAAAGAAGGATTTTATTTTCCGATTTTTTTTTTCTCAAAATCACGACTAAGTTTTAATCATGATGTAATTTTTGATTTGGAAATTAAAATAAATAAGCGCTATAAGGTTTTTGCTAAATGTTTGGGCTATCGATTTGATGGTTTATCTCCCCAGTACGTTGTATATATTGAAAAAAACATTACATCTAAAGATGAGCTTTAAGTACAATGTTTACTCGTAAGACGCGATTTTATATATTTGCTTCGACAGACGAGCTGCCACGTTAAGCGACGCTTACGTAAACAATGACTATGTAATGTACAGATGTCTTGCCTTTCGAAAATGTACGTAATGAAATAACATACTAAGAAAACCTCGGTTTCTCGTTACCTTAATCGTCTGTTATAATGATTTGTAACAATATGCACTTACCTCTAACGGCTCCACGTTTGGCATCCCAATCGTGGCGGTCAGTATTCCGGTATCTTCCAAAAAAGGCTCTGCTTCATCCTTCGCCCAATTGTCTTCTTGACTTCCCAAGTCCCGTAACGTGTACGATTGCACGTATAGTATCGTCGCCAGTAGTACGGCGATCGTTAGCCGGGGAGCTGCTGCCATTTTACAGCAAGCACTGTCGTCTTCGGATCTGACTCTCTGCTCGTTCACTGACTGACGCTTTATTGATCACGAAACAAGAAGATAATGAGATATGGAGATTTCCCAGTATCCGTCGCTCACGTCACACGACCCGTTGACAACCGTTGCTCCGTGGCTTTATGGGTTCAATCAAGAGAATCAGTAAAAAACAGACACAGTATATTATTATATAATGTGTATTATCTTAATAAACATCACGGTTGACTCTGTGCGCGTAGGCTGCCGTGCGTCAAATTAATAATAGGCGATTATGCATATGACTGTTAAATTATTAATCAAAATTGATATGTACACGTCGCGTACAATTGGTTGAACGATTATGAATATATTACAGAATTATGATAAACATTTTGAAATATTAAAATTCTCATACCTTTAAGTCGTCCCAGCGCACGGCGAAATAATAAAGCCATAATTCGAGTTTCTCGGCATTAAAACTATCGTACGTACATTTACTTGTGTGTGTCTAGAAAATATGATTGTTAAAAGTAGTTTTTATTACGCAATGCATATTGTCCATTTACTGATCGTGACTATTTGCATAATACCCGGATATAAAAAAAATGATTCTCGTGAAGAGCATCGATCTTACATATGATCTGTTTTAGATTTAGGATGCACCGTGCTACCCATGGTAGGTGTCACATTACAGTAAGCCGAGGAGTTTAGAACCATCGGGAAGGCGAGAGAATGTTGAAAATGGGTCTAGTCTCAGACATTGGTTGTTTGAGGTCTAGTGTAAAAATGTTGTTTCCTTCGTCATGTAGTTTTTAGAAACAGTATTTTCCGGATTATGTTGCTGCAAATGTTTCTAATGGTGAATCCGGGGTGAAAAAAACACAATCTACATTTTTCAACATTTCACCTTAACGGATTAATTCAATAGTCATCCACCAAATTATTAATATTCAAAGTGATCCTCGTAATCCACGTGTGTAACTGTACACTTTTTAAGCCACATACTATTAAACCATACTTGTAATATCACGTACTTTTGACGAAGAGCTATGTCCGTACACGTGTTTATCACGATATTTACTAAGGGATTGACCAATAGCCTCTACATATTACTGTTATATGTGTTGATATTTTTTTTTGTAATAAATGTCTGTTCTCTGGCATTTTTGTTTTCGAAATCTTCTTTATGCATATTTTTTATAGTATAAATATTTTATAAATTTCAAATATAAGTTTAAAAGAACTTCACAAATCCTAACATTTTAACTGGTGCATGAAAATGAATCGGCTAATGATTGAAGGAAACCCGCAAAGATTCATGGGTAACAGCGTTACCAATAAAAGCGTATTCTGATTTATCGAAATTCTTGTTCACTAAATTAAAAAACGATGTTTTGTCTTTAATGATGAGCAAAATTTTCCCTTGAACCAGATAAGGGTCCACACTTTGTATTATAAATGGGGGTAAGTACAGTTATACGTACATATTTATATTAACAAACAAACCATGAGTTTTTAAAGCGGAGGAGTCGTCACCTGCGCATGCGTCAGATGGCCATAGCGTGTTATTGTTTACAAACAAACGTCTACCCATGAGCCTTTATGTTTTAGCGTGTGTTGTTATCGTCACGTGCGCAGGTGACGACCCTGCCGCTGTAAAAAAAATGAGATACTTAAATATGTAATTTATTTATTCAAGAGATGCCTACATCAGTGTTTCTCTTCTTACGACACTCGCAAAAATGCAATGTGTACAAAACAATAAAATGCCATTAGCTTTATAAAATGTCCGAGCGTTAGCGCCGAGAGCTTAAAGGGCTGTGGTATGTGTGACATTTGTGTTGATAAACATTGCTTTTCCCACAATCCAATGCGCTCTTCTAATGATAATCACGAATACGAGTTTTGATCTGGGCGCAACGTCGATGACTCCTTCGAAACCTTCCAATCACCACAAAAATTACCCAGTTAAAGCTTGGTAACGTCTAAGTTTGCACTCGTTGGTCTGCGCAACAGCCAAAGTCGCTATCTTGTTCATATGAGACCCATATCTCGCGCATGCGCGTCGCGACGACTCGGACCACCGCCCTTTAAAACACACCTCTTATAAAATGGTAAACTACTCGAAATATATAGGCCAATACACCGAGAAATAAAATAATACTTCTATATACCATATTGTATATTAAAAAACAAACATTGTAAACAAAATGTTCTGAGCACATGTATACATGTAAAGACCTCATTCCATTCAAACGGTTTCAAGTGAATTTTGTGCTCGCCGTTTACGTCATGCACTGGTTGATCCAGAAATTTGATGATGGGGCGCTATGGAATCTCCTCGTGGCGTGGCCTGGGTTTGTCAATTGATTTTGCTAGGCGAACGGAGAGGGGGGGGGCTAAATATGCGCCTGCTATGGTGCGAATTGTTGCTGACTTGCAAAATTTCGCTTACCAACATTTTGATCACGAGACAATTTTTAAATGCACGTTTGTCATTTCTGAAGAGAACAAGAGTACATTTTTTTATTTTTCAAATACAGTTTCAAAAATGCCAAATGTTCAAAACTTTCGTGCTCAAACGTCAGTTTCAAATATCTTAAACTATTAATTTTTTTAAATACACGTTTAGCATTTTGGAAACTTTTAAAATGGCAAACATTCATTAAAAAAAACATGATGTAACAAAGACGAAGCGCATTTTAAAAACAATTACATTTTTGAAGTGCACGTTTGGCATTTTAAAGTTTCAATAATATCAAACGTGTTAAAAATGTTATACATTTTAGATTCATTTTTGACCATCATTTTAGTTTTCAAGCGTGCACTGCGCCATACAGATACACCTTGACGTCTTACATGTCTAATGTTTATATTAGTCTGTTGTTGGCCATACCTTCTTTTCCAGCTTCGTACCAAGGTGCCACTATATGATGACAACGTAAAGGCAGATCAAATATCATAATTTCTTGTTTCAAAAATCATATAATTATGATATTGACTCGTGACTCGACTTTTCACTCACTCTCCCAAGTATATATAATACATATATGTATATAGTGAAAAATCTGACCATAAGAACCTGGACAATTGGTAAATTTTCATGGATGTTTGATTTTTCTTTAGTTTGGAACCATAATTTCTATCCGGATTTCTTTGCAACAGCATGTAATAAAACCATAGTAAACGTCAAGGAAATACAGCGGAGTAAAGTTCGTACAACAAACATACCATGACTCACAGTACTTCAAAAAAATGGCGGCCGATTGCTTAACAACATGTCTTCTCGATTGCGAGTTATATGACAGCTGTTCATTCGAAGAATTTCAACAAGTATTCCCACGAAAATTCAGGTTTGATAATTAGAAATCTTTTGTGAAGTAATTAATATAGTGACTTCTCACTAGTTCATAAGTTGTACAGCGCTCAACTATTACAGTCACCATCATTGGTAGTACGTCCATGTACAGTGACACATTAGCCCTGCGTACAGTG